CCAGGTGAGTCTAATCTTTTATTTAAGCACTGAAGATGCTCTTTTGCCTTTCAGACTAGAGGCTAATTACATATGATTTCCTCAGTGGGCTCCACTTGTCCTGCTGTAGCAGATACCCATGGTGGCACGTTTGGTGAAGCAGCTGGGCTGAGGTGGGAGTCACTTCACTGACGATCCCTTCCACCCTTAATGTTTTGCCATAGGGCGTGTGCACTTGCCAAGGTGGTGGGGGAGAGAGAGTGAGAAATCACTCCCCCACCCCCATGGGAGATGACCAGGCCACAATCACTTCTCCTCTGTTGTCCTCATGGGATTTGGACCCGGCTTGACTTTAAAGCCACCAGAGCTAAGATTTGAACTATGGTCAGCCATGTGGGAGTCAGTGCCTTAACTACTTTGCCACCTGCTGGCCCCACCCGTTCCTTTCAACTTGCATCCACCTTTCTGCCAGTCTAGAAGGTACTCCACCAAGTCTCCGTCCTCCCCCAAGCACGTGCATTCAACACGTCGGGGCCTCAGAGACGAAGGGGAAGAGTGAACTTCCCCGGCCAAAGCGAGGGACAGCATTAATCTCACCAGGTTCAATTTTGCGAGGTTTTTCGATAGATGGCGTTTTTGCACGTGGAGGTGAGTTCAGGGCTGTTGCGATGCAGAGGTACAACGTTTTGCTCTGTTTTCCCCCCTCCTCCACTCGAAACTGTGGAGCTGTTTACGTCTCGGACTTGGTGTGATCTGTCTTACCTGCACTTGCCATGGCTTTCCTCAGATAAGTCGTTCTTACGCTTCAAGGCTGGAATGAGCACTTTCAAAAATCGTCTTACATCCTTGTCCTTAAAATTATTTGTAAGGATCAAAACTAACTTCAGGAAACCAAGTGCCTGCTGGGACTGGATGTAAGCCTTACGTCCATTTCTGGTGAGAAAGCCTGCAGTCGCGTGGGAAGTGGCTTTTGTCCGGGGTTAAGCAGTGAAGGCCGAGGTTTGTGGCATGTCTCTGGATAGACAAAGCCAGCATTGAGTGAGCCTCAGGAGGTCCCCTACAAGTGCTGCGTCAAAGCGTGGTGCCCGACTAACAGCAGCAGCTTCACTCAGCAGCTTGTGGGAGGGCAGATTCTCAGGCCCGCCCTGGCGCCCCTGCCGTGGAGATACTGCAGCCGGCGGTCTGTGCGGAGCAGGGGCCTTCGGTGATGCTGTGCGCGTTACAGTGATTCACTGGGAAGTGGGCTCAAGCGGAAGGAAATTTTGTATTTATACATCATATAATTGTGCTGACTTTTTTAAAGAATTATCTTATTTAACTTTATTTATGTATTTATTTATTTTCAATTTGACCAGAGAGGGACAGAGAGAGATTGCAAGAGAGAGAAAAAGAGAGGGAAAGTGAGAAAGCAAGCTACCAGGTTTGAGACTCGAACCATGGTCAGCCATGTGGGAGTACAGCACCCTTAACCATCACGCCACCTGCTGGCCCCAATTTTGCTGACTTGTTTTTTTGAAAGAGATTTTTACTATGGGGTGCGTGCGCTTGCTGGAGAGACAGAGAGATAGAAAGTGAGAAATCACCCCACAGAGGGGATGGCCACATCACAGTCCCTTTTCTTCCGTTCTCCTCTTGGGATCTTGGCCACACATGCACAGGTGCCCAGCATGAGTTTTAAGCCACCAGGTCTGGCACTTGAACTACGGTTGACTACATGGGAGTCCAGAGACACAGTCATGCATCTGCTGGTCCCTGCTGATATTTTTATAATAAGTCTGTCTGCGAGCGCACACGCCCTATAGCAAAAACCTCTCCAAAAAAAAAAAAGAAAGAAAGATACATATTGCGAGAAAGCATGCATGAATTTTATTATTTTTGCACCAAAATAAACTTGAACTTTAATTCTATTTTTCACAAACTTTCTAAAGTCCCTCCGTGGATGTAAAATGGTTAACAGTGCAATAAATCTTGCAGCATTAAAAAAAATTAGCTTAAGAGCAAAGTTTTAAATATTTCACTCCTTTTATGTTTAAAAGAAAATTGAGGGGACCAGCAGATAACGTAGCGGTTATGTCACAGGACTCCCACGAGGCCGACTGTGGTTAGAGTCCCGGACCAGCAACTTGAAACATGCCAGGCGTGTGTGCGTGCGGGCCCAAAATCCTGAGAGGTGAATGGAGGAGAAGGGATTGTGGCGTGGCCATCCCCCCTGGGGGATGATTTCTCGCTTTCTGTCTCTCTGTTTCTCTGGTGAGTGCCTGTGCCCTATAACAAAAATGTCTCTAAAAAATTTTTTCTTTGAGAGGTTTTTGCTATAGGGCACATGTGCTCACCAGAAAGACAGAGAGAGACAGAGAGACAGAAAGCAAGAAGTGCCCCCCAGGGGGGATGGCCACACCACAGTCCCTTCTCCTCCTCCATTCTCCTCGGGATCCTGAGTACGTATGTACACGTGCCCGGTGTGAGTTTAAGCCTCCGGGTCCGGGACTCAAATCACAATCATGTACATGGAAGTCCAGCGACATAGCCATTACACTAACTGCTGGTCCCTCTAAAAATATTTTTTTACATTTTTATTGTATATTACTTCAGTTAAAGTTTAAAAGTGCTAAGAGCCAAGAGCCCAACTGCAGTTTCCCATCTTCCCAGAGAAGTAACCCTTGCATCTTTCCGGGTCTTTTGCTACACGATCACGCATGTGGCCAAGGTGTGGAGTGGGGTTGGTTCCCTTCAGCACAAGTCAGGTCGTGCTGTCCTGCCTCATGCAGCCAGCCTCACCGCTTACTGGGTGGTGGCCTCTGCCTGTCAGTGCCTGGGGACCTCCCGTTTCTCCCCTCACTGTAACCTCTCACCTTTCCTCAAGTGCGTATATCCGTGTTCTGCAAACTCCCACTGTTAGGACCAGTGCCGCGGTGGGCTCTCTCGTACCCGGATCTCTGTGAGTTCACACATGAGCATGGGTGTTTAAGTCGTACACCTGCGAGCGTGTGTGAAATGCGGTCGCCAGTGACAGATGGACACGCTCCAGGGGATGCGCCCCGCGCCCTGATGGCGCACCCTGCCCTTCCCTGGCTAATGTAATTGCTGCCGGTGTGCTGCGCTGGATTACAGGGAAAAGCTTTTCCACCTTGTAATTCCATACGGTGATGCTTCAAAGAGAAGTTCAGCTCGAAGGCCAGTGTTCTGTGTAAACGTTATTTCCGGGCTGGTTTCGAGAAAGGTGTGGCTGCGGTCAGAGCACCAGTTCCATTGAACCTGGGCTGCCGTCGACTGAGGAGCCGGCCGTGCCCAGACTCCCGGGAGTGGGGTGGCTGCTGGGGCGGGGGGCCGCCCGTGAATGGTTAACAGTGCAATAAATCTTGCAGCATTAAAAAAAATTAGCTTAAGAGCAAAGTTTTAAATATTTCACTCCTTTTATGTTTAAAAGAAAATTGAGGGGACCAGCAGATAACGTAGCGGTTATGTCACAGGACTCCCACGAGGCCGACTGTGGTTAGAGTCCCGGACCAGCAACTTGAAACATGCCAGGCGTGTGTGCGTGCGGGCCCAAAATCCTGAGAGGTGAATGGAGGAGAAGGGATTGTGGCGTGGCCATCCCCCCTGGGGGATGATTTCTCGCTTTCTGTCTCTCTGTTTCTCTGGTGAGTGCCTGTGCCCTATAACAAAAATGTCTCTAAAAAATTTTTTCTTTGAGAGGTTTTTGCTATAGGGCACATGTGCTCACCAGAAAGACAGAGAGAGACAGAGAGACAGAAAGCAAGAAGTGCCCCCCAGGGGGGATGGCCACACCACAGTCCCTTCTCCTCCTCCATTCTCCTCGGGATCCTGAGTACGTATGTACACGTGCCCGGTGTGAGTTTAAGCCTCCGGGTCCGGGACTCAAATCACAATCATGTACATGGAAGTCCAGCGACATAGCCATTACACTAACTGCTGGTCCCTCTAAAAATATTTTTTTACATTTTTATTGTATATTACTTCAGTTAAAGTTTAAAAGTGCTAAGAGCCAAGAGCCCAACTGCAGTTTCCCATCTTCCCAGAGAAGTAACCCTTGCATCTTTCCGGGTCTTTTGCTACACGATCACGCATGTGGCCAAGGTGTGGAGTGGGGTTGGTTCCCTTCAGCACAAGTCAGGTCGTGCTGTCCTGCCTCATGCAGCCAGCCTCACCGCTTACTGGGTGGTGGCCTCTGCCTGTCAGTGCCTGGGGACCTCCCGTTTCTCCCCTCACTGTAACCTCTCACCTTTCCTCAAGTGCGTATATCCGTGTTCTGCAAACTCCCACTGTTAGGACCAGTGCCGCGGTGGGCTCTCTCGTACCCGGATCTCTGTGAGTTCACACATGAGCATGGGTGTTTAAGTCGTACACCTGCGAGCGTGTGTGAAATGCGGTCGCCAGTGACAGATGGACACGCTCCAGGGGATGCGCCCCGCGCCCTGATGGCGCACCCTGCCCTTCCCTGGCTAATGTAATTGCTGCCGGTGTGCTGCGCTGGATTACAGGGAAAAGCTTTTCCACCTTGTAATTCCATACGGTGATGCTTCAAAGAGAAGTTCAGCTCGAAGGCCAGTGTTCTGTGTAAACGTTATTTCCGGGCTGGTTTCGAGAAAGGTGTGGCTGCGGTCAGAGCACCAGTTCCATTGAACCTGGGCTGCCGTCGACTGAGGAGCCGGCCGTGCCCAGACTCCCGGGAGTGGGGTGGCTGCTGGGGCGGGAGACCGCCGTTGTGGCACTTGAGGTGCTGCGGTGACACGCGAATGCTTGTAGTCCTGACTCCACACACTGCTGTCGCCGCGTCTGCGCAGTTTGCATTACGTTACTCGCCAGTCTGAGCACGTATTCGTAGTGAGTCTGAGACCCGTAGGTTTCTACCCCAGAAGGGCAGCACGCTTTTTCGGTTGAGAGTGTTATTAAATACGAAGTGCAGGTGGTGATCTCGGGTCAGGGCACGGCAAACCTGTCACTGTGAGACCCGACCTGTGGGGACGGTCCATGACCACGCCTCTGTTCCTTCTCCCCAGTGCTCGGCCTGGTGCTCCCCATGTGGGCCATAGCGCTCCTTTCCTTCGGGGTCGCTCTGCTGTTCGCCTTTTTTGTGTGGCTCTTCGTGTGTCCATGGATGCGGAGGAAAATAGCAGGTAAGGGCCGTTTCTTCTTCTCTTTACACAAACATCCCTGATCCTGCGGGCTGTAAGGCAGTTCCCCTTCTCAGTGGGAGGAGCGGGAGTGTGGGCAGCTCTGGAACGTGCACTGCCGCGCAGGCCCCGGCCACTGTCTCTCTGCTCCCGACTGCCTTCTGGCCCAGACTTGTTCTCCAGAACCTTGTGACCTTGGTGAGTAGTAAGGCTCCCCAGCCCCTGCTTGGGGACAGCGACGGAGTAATGAGAGGATTGTGCCAGGGTAAGACCTCATCAAGGAACTACACTCTCCCTCCCTCTCAGTAAATGAATAAATAATACACTTAAAATCTTAAAAAAATTCACAGGGTGAGCCAAGGGCACTAGAATAGCCAAAACAGCTTTGAAAAAGAAGGGCCCAGCCGATGGCCTGGTGATTAAGGCAGCTGGATCACACATGGCTGACTGTACGGTTCAAGTCCCAGACACGGTGGCTTGAAAAACACACCAGGCACATGTGCGCATGCCCAGAATCCCATCAGGAGCAAGCAGTGGAGAAGGGATTGTGGTGTGACTGTCCCCCTCAGGAGGGGTGCTTTCTTGCTCTCTCTCTTCCCCTTCCTCTCTCTCTCTACCACCAGCAAGTACATGCACCCTTTGGCAAGCTTTTAAAAAAGAAGAAAGTTGGAGGCTTCCTGCTACTTGACTTTAAGACTTAGTGTAAGCAATAAGATGTTGTGTCGTTAGTGAAGAGGTGGGTGTACAGAGTAACAGAAAAGATCAGAGTCCAAAAGCAGACCCATGAAATATGACCATGCGATTTTCCACAAAGGTAGTTCAGTGGAGAAAGGATAGTCTTTTCAGCACACGGTACTGGAGCAGTTGCACATCCATATGCCGAAAAAAGAATCTGAAGCTAAACTTAACACCTTTTTAAAAAAAATTAACTCAAGGTACCAGCAATTAGTGTAATGGCTATGTCGCTGGACTCCCATATAGTCGACTGTGGTTCAAGTCCTGGACCTGGTGGCTTAAAACTCACGCCAGGCACGTGTGCATGCATGCCCAAGATCCTGAGAGGAGAACGGAGGAGAAGGGATTGCGGCGTGGCCATTCCCCCCAGGGGGTGATTTCTCACTTTCTGTCTCTCTGTCTCTCTCTGTCTGTCTGGCGAGCGCACACGCCCTACAGCAAAAACCTCTCCAAAAAAAATTTTAAAAAAATAATAAAAATTAACTCAAAATGTGTCATAGATCTAAATGTAAAATTTTTAAAAAGTAAGGTTTTTAGGGAAAAAATATAGAGGAAAACTGTAGTGACTTTGAGCTAAGCAAAGATGTGACACCAAAAGCATGCTGCCTACGAGAAGATTTGTACAGATTGTATTTCACCAAAATTAAAACCATGGCTCAGCGAGGAGCACTCAGGGGCCACAAGTTGCACGGTGGGGGTGTTAGCAGACCCCATATCTGACGAAGGACTCGTACCCAGAACCTGTAAGGGAATTTCAGAAAATGAACTATACCTATAAATCTTTATCTCTCTATATATAATTTGTATATATATACTATTTTAAATAATTTATAATATGTATGTATATATATACACACACACACACATATATATATATACATACACACACACACACACATATATATATACATACACACACACACACACACGCACGCACACACATATATATAAATTGCAGAGGGAGTGTGTATTTGCTAGAGAGAGGGAAGGAAGCCCCTGCCCCTAGGTGTCATCGCACCACAATCCCTTCTCGTGTATCCATTCTGTGGGGTGGGAGCATGCATGCACGTGTGCCCAGTGTGTTTTTCAAGCCACCAAGGCTGGGATTTGAACCACAGTCATATGGGATCTGGCTCCCCTAACCACAGGCTGTGGGGCTAGCCCAAATGAAATATTTGAACAGACACTTCACCAAAGAAGACATACGGTTGGCAGGTAAAGGTATGAAAAGACTCAGCATCACCAGCCATCAGGGAAATGCCAGCTGAAATCACAGCGAGATATCACTACACACCTATCTGAATGGCTTTAAAAAAGAAAGAGAACCTAACCGCACTAAGTGCTGACAAGGATGCAGGGTGGCTGGAACTCTCACAGCTTGCTGGTGGGGATGCAAAATGTGCAGAACGGTTTGGCGGTTTCTTACAAGGTCAGACATACACCTGTCAGAAGTAGACCTAGCTTCTCCCGGGGCTCTGCCTAGAGAATGAAGGCCTAGATTGCAGATCTGCGCAGGGGTGTGCAGAGCACCTGCGTTTGTGATCACCGGAGCTGGAAATGGCCAGATTTCCCACAGGAGGAACACGCCAGCTGTGGAGCATCTGTTCATGGGCATGCTGCCCACAATGAGAAGGAACAGACTAGGGACCAGCAGGAGGTGTAGTGGTTACGTTGGTGAACTCCCATGTGGCCAACCGCAGTTCAAGTCCTGGACCCGTGGCTTCAGACTCACTCCGGGCACACGTGCGCATGTGCCCAAAACCCCAAGAGAAGAATGGAGGAGAAAGGGTTGTGGCGTGGCCATCCTCCCAGGGGGTGAGGTGATTTCCTGCTTTCTGTCTCTCTGTCTCACGGGGGAGCCCACACACCCTTAGAGCAAAACTCTCTCCAAAAACAAAGAAAGAAAAAAAAAAGAACAGGCTGTTGATACACAGAATGTTGCTTGTGAGCAGCAAGATAATTATATTAGCAACACCACGTAGCAGATTCGATGAAAAAAAATACTGCCGAGTGTGAAAGCAGCTTTTAAAAAGTCCCCTGGTGGTGTTTTTTCCTTAGCTTTCTCTCATGAGAGAGAAGCATGCCCTCAACAGGTCTGTCTTACCACACCAGTCCCTCCGACAGCCTCCCCACCAGCCAGGACCCTGGACACACAGGCATGCCCTGCAAGTTCAGGTCAACCTGGGGCCGGACCTGGGCTGCCGCATGGCTCTGGCATTGAACAGTTGTGCCCTGCAGCTTCCACCACTGTGGCTGGGCCCCTTGTTTTGTTTTAAAGTAGAGGATTTTTAAAGTAAGTAGGATTGCCTGGGGCCAGCAGGTGGTGTGGTGGTTGAGTTGCTAGACTCCCACATGGCTAACCACGGTTTGAGGTCCCGTGGCTGGACCTGGTGGCTTGCTTTCTCACTTTTCCTCTCTCTGTCTCTTTCTAGTGAATCTTTAAAAATAATGGTAATAATAAATAATTCATAAGAAAAGAAAACAGTAAGAAGTCCCTTGTTCCTTTTGAGGAAAAAAAAATTGTTTTCTAAAATTTGGTACCCTGAGCTGGCCCTGTGGCACAGCACTAAAATCCTGTGTTTAGGAGCCAGATCCCACATGGCTGTCCAGGGTTTGAGTTGTGGTCCCTGGAGCTTGAAAACACGTGGGCTGGAGAATTGGAGGACGAGAGACGGTGGCACGACCAGGCCCATAAGGAGGGTGCTTTCTCTTTCTCTTTTTCTCATGCATGTGCTCTTGGACATTTAAAAAAAAAAGGTAATCTGAAGAAATCAGAGACGGGGACCAGCAGTTAGCGTAACGGCTATGTTGCTGAACTCCCATGTAGTCAACCGCGGTTCAAGTCCCAGACCCGGTGGCTTAAACTCATGCTGGATGCGTGTGCGTGCATGCCCAAGATCCTGAGAGGAGAATGGAGGAGAAGGGATTGTGGCATGGCCATCCCCCTGGGGATGATTTCTCACTTTCTGTCTCTCTCTCTGGCAAGCACAAGTGCCCTATAGCAAAATTCAATAAATAAAGTATAAAGATACATAATAATAATTCTTTTCTAAAATTTTCAGGCAAATTACAGAAAGAAGGTGCTTTATCACGAGTGTCAGATGAAAGCCTCAGTAAAGTTCAGGAGGTGGAGTCCCCAGTGTTTAAAGAGCTTCCAGGCGCCAAGGCTAGTGATGACAGCACTGTGCCTCTCACTGGGGCAGCCGGGGAGACGGCGGCCGTCCTGGAGAGCACCTCGGTCGGAAACCACCCCCGGGTCGCGTACGGTAAGCCTCTCCTGAGAGCCTGGGCTTCTGCGGGCCTGGGAGAGGGTCTCGGGACCCTGGCCAGCCTGGTGGGCAGTCTGCTTTCAGTGCACAAAGCCGCCCGCCAGTTTCATGCTTTCAGAAAGCCCGAGATAACCAGGCCCTGGAAGCCACTGCACTGTCAGTAGAGCAGGCCTTGCTGCACCCTGACTCTCCTCCCGGGGCACGTGGTAGTGTCCGGGCGCTGAGGCCGCCCGCTGTGTGTCTGTGCCACCCACCCAGCCACATGGCACAGCTCCCATTACTCAGCCGTTCAGGGATGCCCTCCTTGTGGGAGACTGGAGAGAAGCCATAGCTAGAACCAAGGAGAGGTCCCACTTTAGGTTCACAGAGACCTTAGGAAGCATCCAGACCTCCTGGGCACGTTTTTTAGCCTGGAATGTGTGCCCTTCCAGGGCGAGCACCGGCCTCTGCCCAAGCCCACCAGGTGGCGCCCAACCGCTCAGAGTGGGCCCAGCACCTGCTCTCCACAGATACGGTCTCAGGCTCGTCCCAAGGAGAGCGAGTGAGTCCTGCCCTGCTTCTGACAGACTCTGCCTCGGCGGTCAGAACTGCCCTGCTAAGATGCTCCTAGAACACCTCTCTCACATGAACTGAGCTTTGTCTCAGGTGAAATTTTTTGAAGCTAAGTTCCTTATAAGGGTTTATCCTTTATTGGTCACTGAAAACAGGGAAGAGTCCTGTAGTATTTTCTGGAAGATGCTTTTTAGTAAACCTAATAACATCATCTTTGAAATGCTCTAGTCTTAGATTACC